AAAAAAAAAAAAAAAAACCAGTTCTTTCCCATTGATCAAAAGGCCAAGCATGTCATCAGATAGCATCTGAGTCCTGTAGTAGCCACACCCCTTGCTTTGCTATGACCTGCCTACTGAATGTATCTACCAGTGTATTTGAAAAGTGTCTTGATTTATGACTTTTCATTGTTCTGTTACTATAGAAACTTAATGAAACTGCTTCCAGGCCAGAACATGGAATTTGGGTAAGCTGAATCCGTGTTCCTGGGCCAACCTCATTCATATTTGGCTCTTACTCTTAAAAAAAGACATCTAGAGCAGAGGTAAATAGTATCAGTTATGAGCCTTGATACTACCCTTAACCCCATCCCATGGTATCTATATCTATAGTAAGCATTACATATTTTCTTATGTGTGGTCATTTCTATATTTATGATACACCATATTTCAAAAGAGAAGAATGCCAATTCATCAAAGTTCATCTGACAAGCTTTTAAAATATGATTGTTTAAATATAGAGCAATATGGCTAAATATCACCACTATGGCTATAAACCACCACTGTTCCTTTTTAACTTGTGTAAGTTAAAATTTGTGTGTGTGTGTGTTTGTGTGTGTATGTGTGTGTGTGTGTGTGTGTGTGCATATCATGTGTATGCCAGTTCCCATGGAGTCCAGAAGAGGATGTTGGATCCTCTGGAGCTAGAGTTACAGATGGTTATGAGCTGCCTGATGTGGCTTCTGGGAACTAAACTCAGGTCCTCTGTGAAAGCAATGCATGATCTTAACCTCTGAGCCATTTTTCCATCACAATTAGCAGTATAATTTTAAAATCAGTACTATATATCCTTAACCATGAACTAGACTCCCTTGGTGACTTTGAGGAGCCTACTGTTGAGCTGTATACCCTGGCTAGCAAGTCCCTCTTTCCCAGGTAAACCCCCAAGCACCCGAATGTTTATGTTTTCAAGGTAATCCTGTCAGCACCTGTGCTTTAGATGAAGGGAGCTACGAACAGAATATAGCAAACTGAATTTATGTTAAAAAAGACTAAAAGTTTGTAGAGCTATTTCACTTATGAAGACATTCCAAAACTGATTAACAAGGAAGGAAAGGCTGACAGTATGATGGGTGCGCTGATGGTTTTTGCTCTGTGCAATCTAGACAATAAAATCAAAGCACTCAACATAGCTAGATTCCAAAGAAGGAAAAAAAATGAACTCTGGAAACATCTATATCAATTTTTTTTTTACTTTTAAATTTCTACAAAGTCTAAATAGCCCTGGCAGACCAATGAGGGGCAGAGCGAATCTGTAGCCCCTCACCACAACCATCTGCACCTCCTTCTGTGCTGCTGGTAACTGCTGGGTCAACAGGAGCACCTGTTGCTGAAAAGCTCCAAGCTGCTGCTCAAGGACAGTGACACTTCTTCAATAAGCAGAGAATATGGAAGTTGAGGGGCTCCCAATTGCAACACAGACAGCTATGAGAGGGCAATTGGCACCAGAAATGAATATTGTTCTCTCCTGGCAGGTGGCCACTGCTGAGATCCTTCTGGAAGGAAATCAAATTCCTAATAGGAGTGGAAAATCACTGGCATCAAGAGCCTTAGGAAATAATTTTTATTCGTGCTTATTCTTGGGCTCTATTCTTTCCTGCTGCTGGCCCATTCTTCACTGAGTGTTTTCTCATCCACCAAAAGATTTGTGCTTTAAAATGAGTACCTTGGGTGCAAAGTGAAGAAACGGTGAATCCAACAATTTAGTCATCATTTTAAACTATTACCTATATATTTCAATCCATTATCCTAACCGTATGCCTTTAAGTTGTTCCTGAGGCACTTAAAAAACCTTTTTGTCAAAGCCATGTGATGGTACACACTTGTAATCTCAGCACTTAGGAATGTGAGGCAGGAAGAGCAGTTCAAAGTCATACTCAGCTACATAGTGAGTTGGAGTCTG